TTTCAGAACTTTTTTTTTTCACGTCAGGAGCCCATTTCTTACCCTGGTGAAGAACTCACAAGTAGAAGTCATTGTCATGTGTCAAAGAAGGGACTCGTGGGCTTCATTTTCTTCCTATTTCCTATACTTCACTAGAGGATAAAAGTATCTAATTCTCCTCCTCTTGCTCCCAAGTCCCTTTGCTCTGTTTATAAAAAATCCTATTTAGGAACCTGAATCTCTAGGGTTTTCAAAAGTTTCTTGAAGCTGTTACCTTACTAGATATCTAAACTCACAGCAAGTGCAATCAAGGGAACCTATAACCAGATCAACAACTCATGCAACTACTGTGCACATACTATATATGTGTATATATAAAATATTATATACTTCATATAGCATATATTTTAGTAATTACAGTTGTTCCAGTTGTTATTCCAGCTCATCAGAGTAAAGTTCAGAATACTTCATATGAGGATCCCAAACCTCTGAACATGTTCCACAAATATGCAGATACTGCATATAACAGGATAGCTAATACAAGGAATTTTGTCTGCCTCCTTTTTCCTTCTCTGCCTTAGCTGAATATTGCTATATGAAATACTGTGTAATCATTATGGATGTGTCTCTGTTTAGTAAAAAAGATAGCGTCTTCTGATCGTTTGTCATTATACTTTATAGGTACGGATGAATCAGATGAGTTACTCTGGCTAATTAATTTCCACACCATTTAATGGCTTAATCCCTCTTCTATAGTTACATACAGTTGGAGGTTTTTTCTCTTGCTTGTTTGTCTGTTTATTCTTTGAGGCTAAATTCATGCTTACCTGGATATAATGCTTACCTTATAGAATTTTACAAGTCTATTCATTTTGCTTGTGGTTGAAGGTTTTGAAACAAACTGCAAACAGTTAACATACAAGGTGAGCAGAGCTGAGGTTTGCAAGTATGAGACCAGCAGAGAAGTCATGGTTCACACATGCAATATGCATTGGCTGTGCAGTGGATAGTTGGGTCAGAAATACCTGTTTGTGTCAGCAAATGATCTGAAATTAATGTATTCAAAAATATAGAAAACGAATCTGGTTGAGTTTCTCCTTTTTCTGCTTCCCAGTAAAGGCTCAAGAACTTTGTGAACTTCCCAAACACCTACCTAACGTAGGTCTGCCATTCTAAACTTCTTTTTTTTTAATCAGCCAAATCCCACTTAAGGATGTCGCTGGCTACAGCACATCTCCTCCTCTGCCTTCCCCAAGACAGTTGCACTCACTGCCTCTTTTCACACCTGTTTTCTGCTTACTGCCATCTCTTTCTTGCACCTGCTACACTGGTGCATCTCCAAAGCTCTAGTGAGCTTAAACAGCATTAATCTGGCATTAAAGGTGAGCAAAAAATTCTGACTGGACCTAGTAAGTGTGCGCTGCAGTAGAAGGCCAAGACAGAAGTACATCTGAGTGTTCCCAGAGTGTCAGCAGAGTCAACACAGATCAAGGGCAGCATATTCCATGGTCTCCACATTCTCTAGAGAGTTCAAGAGATCTATACCTCAACAGTTGGAAACCACTGACAAAGACACCAATCTGAACCCTGACTGAATTCATACCAGTCCTCAGGCTTGTTTCTGTCAACTGTGGTGCAGGACCCAAACACTTTCTGCGTGATGAAAAACAGGCAGTGTTTGTCAGAGCAGTTGATGAGTAGGTTGTCTGAACAGTAGTAGATGGTGCTAAAAACTATTATGCTTTTGGTAAGAACAGGAAAGTTTATTTGGTTCTTTATGTCCACTAGTGAAATTTCTTTTGCAGTCTTATTCCATTTCCCCAGAATCACCCTTTTGAAATAGGTATCTCAAAATAATTTCTCGTATATACAACATGCTCTTTACTTTGTGAATATTTGGTGGAATGGCCACTCAACATTTACAATATTTCTGAGCCAAGCTTTTGGTAATAAGCTTGAGACAATTTTTATTCCGCTTTTAAAAATCAAGATTCTGAAGCAAACCAATATGCGCCTAGATTTTGTATGACTAAAAGGACTGCAAAAGGTAAGTCAAAATGTGTGTATTATTATAGACTGCTACAGAGCCCCAAGAGAAATTCAATCCACTGCAGTAGATTTAGACCGTCTTTGCTTTTGGTTTGTATTTTGTCTTTATAATCTTTCCCTACCTTATTTTCTCAGGGTCAGCTTCCTTGCCAGGTTCCTGAACTAGAACCTGACAAGAAGGGCCACAGATAGTGGTAACATGCTCTTTGATAACACAGCAAATGCAGCCTTTTTCCTCTGTCGACAATTCTAAGCTAGTATGGTTTAATTTTTTAGAAGAAAAATACAGCATCTTTAGCAATAGAGGGAAAACTGTAAAACCTTACAAAGCACGTGTATCCTAATAATAAATGGAAAGGAAGAATAATTTTTAGCTTTATTCATGTATGATACAAAACATGCTCTGGGATTTGCCCACTGATCTTACCTCTGGGGACAAATCTTGTAGGTAGTCCTGCAACTGTGAACTGGAAAATAGAGGAGCCAGGTGAGCCAAAATCCCCCGAGATCCTCCCTGCCGGCCACAGATGTGTTGCCATGTGTGCTGCTGGTGGACAGCACACACAGCTGTGCTGCTAACAGATTTTTTCCCTTTTGATAAGGATGAAAGGGAAACATTGCCTTTTTGCACATGCAGATAAAGGGGCAGAAAACATATAGACCCATTCTAAGGTGTTCAGGAGTCACCCCTTTACCTTAGAGTTTCAGTTTTTATTTAAAAGGAAGTTTTAGCCTTAACGGCTCCTAAGAAAAACGTAAGACGACTTGACAGTATTACATACATGTGCGTCCCCTTGAAACAACAGTTTACCTGAAGCTCAGACAGACGTGCCCCAGTGGGATTGTGACTTAGAGATGTACTGCTCTGCAAATCCCATTTCCTACTGGCTGTTCAGAAAACACAGAAGTAACAGGAGTACAGCAGGCCCAGGCCTGGCATTGACTGGGTGCACCCTGGCTCCAACTGCTGGCAACCTCTAAAGGCATCTTCTACTCCAGGTGGATGCAGAGGTCTCCTGATGGAGGCATAAAATCCTTTGCTGCTATTTTGCCTCTCTGGTGACTGTTGTCTCATTGCTCATGTCCTAGGCCAGGAATAAGGGTATTGGTATAGCTGGCATAAGTGGAGGTGTGCTTACAGCCACAGACCAATTTTTTCTGAGAATGCTGGTATTTTTAAAATGAATAATTTATGGTTCCAATCTACTGGGATTAGTTTTGCTTTTATTTGAAATTACTTTCTTTTGGTACTTCAGTGCTTGAAGAATACTCTCCACTGTTCCACAGAATATATTCTACTACATTAAAACAAATCTCAAGTGTGAATGATGTTAGCTGTTTATTTCAGGCATTTAATTATTGTGGTCTTTCCCACCATCAGAAAATAATGTTTTATAGCACAACATAGTGGTTTCTGGACTAAAAGCTAAAAGCCAGTCTGGGTAGCACAGACACTAAGCCTTCTGAAAGCGCTGGGAAAGAAAAAGCTCCTGCATTCTTCTGATCTGTTGGCAGTTTCATCCATGATAGCTAAACCTGGAATTAAGGCTAAAAAATGTCCGTTGTTACTTAGCATTGACTTGGACTCTGTCAAAGTGCTTGGAACCATACAGAACAAAGAAGAGAACAGAATTAATGACAACTCTTAACTAGATGTGTGTGGAACAGCAAAGACATCAAAACCAGCTCACTATGGAAACTGAAATAATTGGCTTGTGAAGTTTCCTGAGAAATATATAAAGCAAACATTTACAAAGGTTATTGGATGGTGTCTTCAGTTTCATCCTAAATAGTCTCAAATTAGCAAGCCTATAAATTAGGTTTCCTATTTGATCAAAAAATTAAGGTTGTTAAATGACAAATTTTAAATGTTCCTATTACATATGAGAAAAATGTATCAAATCTGTCCCTGGTAGATAGAAGAGGAAACAATACAAGGACTTCTGTGAGGCAGCTCACCACAGGCAGACCTGCAGCATCCAGTCAAGAAAGGCTGTGATTGTTCAGTATTACCTTCCTCCCAAAGGTCAACAAGGTAACACAGTGGTCTGGGAGACCTGAAAAGCTCTTCTGTGAACAGCCTGCTTGGAGGCTTGTGTGGAAAACGACAGTTTGGAGTGGGATAGACAATACGTGCTGGCACTGACAGTTCACTCTCCTCATACAAGAGCAAGGGTGGCTGCAACTGGAGCTCACAGACCCTAACTTCAACACATGCCAAGTGGATGCTTCCTAAAAATGGCAGTAGACTTGCAGTACCCCTTTTCAAAGGCTGGAGTTGATGTGGGTTCACAGAGACCAGGGAAATTAATGGTACAGCAATCTATCGGGGGAGGGTACAAAAACTAAGGGGAAGGGGGGCCAAAAAACCCCTAAGGCATTCAGCTGAGAATGTCATCTGGTCAGAAGCTGGAAAAATATCCAGGAAAATATTCACAGAATCATAGAATGGTTTGGATTGGAAGGGACCTTAAAGATCATCCAGTTCCAACCTGTCTGACACGGACAGGAACACCTTCCACCAGACCAGGTTGCTCAGAGCCCCATCCAACCTGGCCTCGAATACTTCAAGGGGTGGAACATCCACAGCTTTTCTGAGCAACCTGTTCCATTACTTCCCTACCCTATGAGTAAAGAGTTTCTTCCTAACATCTAATCTAAATGTCTCTTACTTCAAAACTGTTCCTCCTGTGTCCTATCACTGTGTGCCCATATAAAAAGTCGCTCTCCCCCTTTTTTATAAGCCCTCATTAGGTACTGGAAGGCTGCTGTAAGGTCTCCCTGGAGCCTTCTCTTCTCCAGGCTGAACAGGCTCTCAGCCTATCTTTAAGGAGAGGTGCTCCATCCGTCTGATCATCTTTGTGACCATATTATATATGTTTGTAGAGTTCTGACGTGTTTCCTTAGTACCTGCTCATAGTTTCTTCTGAAAACAAGGTGTTAGTTGAAAAAAGATTTTCAGTATCCTTAAGTGTGTTCCATTACTCTGTTATTTACTCTAGTTAAGTAGCTTACAGTGTCCGAAGTGGATCAAGGTTCTGCATCCAGTTAAGCTGTTTTCTTGGTATGCTCTGAAAGAAAGAAAAAAAAAATCCACAATGAGATGAGAGAAGTATCATCAGAAAACATTCACCCTTACCTTGTTGTGACACCAGAAATGAAAGCTGACCTTGACAGTCAGCTGGCTAAAGCCCAGGGTACCTCACCAAGTACCCAGCAGTACTTCATGTAATTTTTGAAAATGTTCAGGTGAGGTAGGACTTTATACAGATACGTGGGAGTCAGGGGGGTGCAGAAGTGTTTTCTGAGACTGATTTAATAAAGTCCAGCTTGGGAGTGTCACACCATGTTTTTCTTTCAGGAGCTAACTGGCTGCCAGCCATTCCCTGACCTGAAAGGCAGCGCAAAATAGATTCACATAATCACAGAATTGTTAGGGTTGGAAGGGACCCCTGGAGATCATCTGGTCCAACCTCCCTGCCAACACAGGGTCACCTAGACCAGGTGACACAGGAACGTGTCCACGTGGGTTTGGAGTGTCTCCAGAGAGGGAGACTCCATAACCTCCCTGGGAAGCCTGTTCCAGCACTCTGCCACCCTCAATGTAAAGAAGTTCTGCCTCATGTTGAGGTGAAACTTCTTGTGTTTTAGTTTATCGCTCCTTGTCCTGTTCTCCGGGCACCACCAAAAAGAGCCTGGCAGCATCCTCCTGGCACCCACCTTTAAGTTATTTAGTAATGAGGTCCCCTCTCAGTCTTCTCTAGACTAAACAGGCCCAGCTCTCACAGTCTCTCCTCACATGAAAGATGCTCCAGACCCCTCCTCATCTTTGTGCTCTCCGCTGGAGAGTAGCTCCTTGTCTTTCTTGTACTGAGGAGCCCAGAACTGGACACAGCACTCCAGATGTAGCCTCACTAGGGCTGAGTAGAGGGGCAGGATCACCTCCCTTGATCTGCTGGCCACAGTCTTACCGATGCACGCCCGGGATACCATGGGCCCTCTTGGCCGCAAGGGCACCCTGCCGGCTCACGGTCAAATTGTCACCCACCAAGGCTCCACAGTCCTTTTCAGCAGAACCCAAGCCGCGCACCCACCACGGGCTCGCCCCAGAGCGCAGCGAGCGGCGCTGGCGCCCGGCCCGGCCCGGCCCCGCCCGCAGGCGCCGCCCCTTCCTGCGCCTTGGCGGTGCCTCCCGTGCTCTCCCGGCGGTCCCGCGCAGGAGGCGCGGTTGTGTTACGGCCCCGCGCCTGCTCCCGAACCGCGGCCGGGCGCTGTGCGGGCCATGCTGCGCGGGACGGCGGCGGCGGCGGCCCGGCGGTGCGGGCTCGGCCCCGGTCCTGGCCCCGTCCCCGGCCCGGCGCAGGCGGCGGTGCGGCGGTGCTGTGGTGCGGCGCGGCGGCGGGAGTGGGCGCCGCCGGCGGGGCACGACTGCGGGATCGTGGCTTACAACAGCCGGAGCCGGAGCAAGGAGCCGCTCGTGCTGGCCACGGAAGGAGTGGCGACCTGGTAGCGCCTGGCGGCGGGCGGGCGTGGGGGTGACGGGGTGACGGCCGCAGTTTGTGTCCGGAAATGGTTGCCGTGCCCAGTTCTGGGCTCCTCAGTACAAGAAAGACAAGGAGCTACTGAAGAGGGTCCAGCGGAGAGCACAAAGATGAGGAGGGGTCTGGAGCATCTTTCATGTGAGGAGAGACTGTGAGAGCTGGGCCTGTTTAGTCTAGAGAAGACTGAGAGGGGACCTCATTACTAAATAACTTAAAGGTGGGTGCCAGGAGGATGCTGCCAGGCTCTTTTTGGTGGTGCCCGGAGAACAGGACAAGGAGCGATAAACTAAAACACAAGAAGTTTCACCTCAACATGAGGCAGAACTTCTTTACATTGAGGGTGGCAGAGTGCTGGAACAGGCTTCCCAGGGAGGTTATGGAGTCTCCCTCTCTGGAGACACTCCAAACCCACGTGGACACGTTCCTGTGTCACCTGGTCTAGGTGACCCTGTGTTGGCTGGGAGGTTGGACCAGATGATCTCCAGGGGTCCTTTCCAACCCTAACGATTCTGTGATTGTTTGCCCCCTCTCCGCAGGTACAGCTGCGGACCGACGGTGTATGACCACGCACACCTCGGGCACGCCTGGTGAGTGCGGTGCGGGGCTCCAGGCGGGAGCCAGGCAACGGGAGTTCGGGGCATCCCCAGTCCCCGGAGTGTGTCCGGGTGACAGAGCCGGGACTGGGGCACCAGGCCCGGCCCTTCATCTCCTGCGCCTTGCAAAGGGCAAAAGTCTGTTTGCTGCGTATTTTTTCTTCTTGGGCTGGGGGAGCCCGTAAAGGGGCTGTTGTTGCCGCCTGGCCCAGGCAGAGACAAAAGTGTGTGTGTTGGGAAGAAGTGTTAGAAATGTGCAGTTTGTCTGGGTAGGGTGAGTTGTTTCAAATCATATCAGCATAATATGTCCTCTCATGCAGGGGAGTTGTGATCCTGGAGCAGAGTCTCTCAGCAATGTAAAATGATAGTTTCACCTCAGATTTGGTTTGGGCACTCCGTGGGCACTAAGGAAAAGCTGTGCAGAGCTGAGTATTAAAAAGGTACTTTTGATGTTAGCATCAATTCTTAAATCTCAGAAAGCCCGGGTAGCTTAAAGGCCTTTTTGCATAGTAGCAGTTCTGTGGCTTACTATGTTTAAAAAGAAAAAAAGATCCAGAACAACACATTTTCTCTGTAATTCATTAGGATCATTACAATAGTAAACCAGCTTCATTATAAGTAGCTGTCAAAAGGTACTTTAAATGCACCAGAGCAGGTTGCTGCTGGTTGTTTTGAAAGAACATGCCTGATGAATAGACATGCGGGGTATCTGCTGTTCCTGTGAAGCTGAGGGGAGCTGCAGCAGCTCAAGATGCTCTTGAACTTCTGTCTCCTCATTCTTAAAAACCAAGATGTGTTGGGCTCCTTGGAAGAGCTGGGGTTTCTCAGATAGTTGCCATCTGTATGAAGATCAGATATTGTGCATTCCATTAATTGAATAATTCCTTTTAATGTAGGGGATTTCACGGCTTCTGGTCCTATCTCAACTTCATTCAGAAACTCATGTTGAATTTTGCTCAGTGTTGAGCCATCGCAGTACTGCGCAACTGCTGCTTCGTTCTCTGAAAGGGAAGACTTAAAAATTCCAGTCTGTGGTGGGTTGACCCTGGCTAGATGCCAAGGTACCATCAAAGCCACTCTGTCACTCCCCTCTGCTGCTGGACAGGGGTCAAAATATAACATAGGGTTCATGAGTTAAGATAAGGACTGGGAGAGATCACTCAACAACTACCGTCACAGGCAAAACAGACTCGAAGTGGGGATACTAGTTAAATTTATTAGTAACCGAATTGGAGGATAATGAGAAGTAAAATACATCTTAAAAACACCTTCCCCTCACTCCTCCCTCTTTCCCAAGTTCTACCTCCTCTCCCCCAGTGGCTCAGGGAGACAGGGAATGGGGGTTATGCTCAGTTCATCACAGGTTGTTTCTGCTGCTGGATCTAGAGCACAGTGTTTATAGGGGTAGAGAATTTTACCCTTTGGTCTTGCAGCTCTCTGTGGCTTTTAAATGTCTGTTTTTGTCAGTGGTTCTGCCTTCAGACTCATTTGGTTAAAGGAGGGAGTACAGAGGCCTTGCTCACTCTGCCTCTTCTCTTACCCATCTTTTCTTATCTTGTGTCCAAACATCAACTTTAAGCTTTCCTTACGTGAAGATTTGCCATACATCTGTGTCACCTGGGTTTGACCTGGGTTTTCACTTGCTGATTTAAGAAAAAAGAGTTAGTGCTGAATATTGCCTTTGGTGTATCATGCAGATACACCATGTATTGTTGAAATGCATGCTGCTGATGGGGGCTCTACAGGCAGGAGGTGCCCTGGGAAATAGTGTGAAGTCAAATGCAGTGGTGACCGTTGGTGCTGTGCCACTCTTGTCAAATACTGTTGTTTTGTTGTACTCTTGCAACATGTTGTCTTCTCACTAGAATTCCCTTTTTCCCCCCTTCTTCTTAATTTGGCTTGTGGCAAGCACAACAAATGCAGTAGGTAATAATGCAGAAATGAATAATGGGAAAGAGCTTGAGATCCTTGAGAAGAATTTGAAAATAATGACGTTATTATTTCTTCACCTCCTCCTTCCCTTCCACAAAGAGTTCTTATCTTTCTAAACAATCCAACTTTTTCTAATATGTTGTACTTCCAGTCTTAAAAGCAGGTGCTCTGTATGCCTCCATATGACATCCAACACCCCATTCTATATAAAGAAAAAGTAAGACAGGAAAATAATATTATTTTTTCCCTTCAGTTCTAGGCCTGACCTTGATTGTACTGGTTTGAGCTGTAGCCTGGTTGGCATCCAGGTTCCTGGCTTGATGCTTGGAAATAAGAGTAAAATCAAGCATGAGAGGACATTTCATTCAGTCCCTTGTACCTGCTCTACCACCCCCTGATTTTGACTGTCTGTTTTTGTTCTTTTTTTTTGTCTTTTCAGTCCTGAAGTGGTAAGGACTCTGGTTTCTGAGGTGTCAGGAGATCCGCTCTGGCTCTTGCAGTATTTCTTCCATCAATTCAGTTGGAAGATCAGAGGAGCAGATCATTTGTATCTGCTCTGGGAACAGTGACTGCAGGGCTGGTAAATCTAATATCAAGCTTTTGATGCTGACATTGTTCCTCTGAACAGGATCCAAAGACCAGTTTAATATTCTTACGGAATTGTGTCACCACATTAGATGAACCTTATTCCCACTGAGCTGCTATTCATTAAAAACTATCTCCCTGGCAGCAAGGCTTTCAAAAGGTGTTTTTTCAACGTGGGCGTGGCACAAACAACAACAACAGAAAATACTTTTCTTCAATGATATATTACATCCATAAATCAGTACCTTGGTGCCACCTAGCACGTGAAGCTAAGGGAAGGGGTGCAAATCTGTTTCCAGTGTTTGGTTACACTTCTTTGCTCTGACAGCCACGACATTGGCAGTTCGTGTGGTGCTGCAGGTGAAATGGGAACCTGTGGGTCTGTGAGTTTCCTTGCTGGCTTTGGAGAAAACAGAGCCCAAAAAGGTTGAGGGTTCTCATTGCCTTGCAGGGCAGAGCCAGAGTTTCTAGGCACCTTCTAGTATCTCACCTAATAACTCAGTTTTACTCAAAGTGTGTTTTGAGAATTACAGATGGGGAGTCTGTGAGCAGAAGGAGCTGCAACAGCCCTGTAAAGCTTGTACATACATTGATCTATCAGCATTAAATACTCTGTTTTGTGACAAAGAACATGAATAATTTTGAGAATAACTTTTATTCTCAAGTGTAAGTAAAACAACCCACAGAGCTTTTAGTCTTTGCTATCAGGAAAGATCTGTGGCGGTGTGTGAATTAAATAATTTATTGGTGGCTGGTAGCTGTTGTTTTTACTCAGCCCTAAGCAAAGTTCATTTGAATCCTGCCTTATTTCTCTCTGTTCTTCTGCCACATGAGTTTTCAAAACCTGTTAAAATACACAAAGCCCGAGGGATGTATTTCAAGAATACCTGATCACTGTGTCTTAGTTCATACTATTCACTTAGAATCTCTTGGCTCATGTGTGGCTTGTGATGCTCTTCAGTGCTTGAATAAAGAGATGCAACAAAAGAAGACACTCAGAAAATTTGATGTAATGTGTCACTAATGCCAGAAGAGGGTAGGCCAGTTCAAGGGAAATTTCCTTGACACTTGTGCAGGTGGTAACTGGTTTTGGGAAAATACTTTATACGCTGAAGATCTTTTTATTGCAAATGTTGAGGTATTTAAATTGTCCCAGTGGCTGTTAGTTCTATTGGTTATTTTTGTTTAGGTTTATTCTTACTAGTGCATGTTTAAAAGGTCTTTTTTTTTTTCTTCCAGCTCCTATGTTAGGTTTGATATAATTCGAAGAATAATGACTAAGTTTTTTGGAATTGAAGTTATCATGGTGATGGGGATCACAGACATAGATGACAAGATAATAAAAAGATCCAATGAGGTAGGTGTTTGTTACAGTCTTTGACTCTAACTTTCGGTATTTTCTAAGCTATGTACATAGGAAAATTAACTTGGGTTTGGGGTTCTTTTGTTGAGTCATGTTTGTTTTAATTAATAGATAATAGATGTTGAGATTTCTGGTCCCCTAGCATGGCTGTAATAGGGCTGGGAGTTGAGAGCTGCGTGTAGGTTAATGGGGGCAGAGTTGTGTGAGGAGAGAGGCA